AAAAAAAAAAAAATGTTCAAGTGAAATTCTTGTGGGAAGGAAATTAGTGTACTGAAGAGTTCTAATTTTGTAGCAAATTAATTAATTTAAAAAAAAATATGCCAGCTACAGTTCCATTGTACAGGAATTAATTAAACAATCAGGCATTGCCAGTTAGTCACAACTTATGTGTGTGAGAACCAATTAAACAACAATGGATAACCTTGGTTCATTTGTAGGAAAATGGATGCAACCTGATAACATATTGTGAAGGGAAATCAGACACACAAATTTGAATATCACAGAATTTATATGGTAAACCCAAAATATACATAAATTAAAGATCAAAATGAAAGGTAGATACTAGGAAACAGGGATATAGATGTTTTACAAAAAGGGGAGCTAGAGATGGAGGGAAGGGAAAGGGAGACAAGAAGAAAAGGATGAAAAAAAACTAAGACCTGTTATGTACATGCACTAACTCCACACAATGAATGTAATCATTATGTACTGTAAACACGTACTCATAACAATAAAAATTATGAAATAAAGAATGCCTGAGAAAAATGGACAGGTGCCATAGGACAGTCATTACCTCTCCACACCAACATTTCTCTATGTTAGAAGATAATAATAATTTTCCTTAAAATCATGACTGTGAGAATTAATGAGAGTGATATTACCATTTACTTGATGCTTGCTTCTATAATTGACAGAATACATACTGCCTGTCAGTGAGTTATGTCACTAGACCTTCATAACTCTACGGTAAATAACATATTAATGTTACATTACAAGTATTCTAGGGCAATCTAAAGAGGAGTGTATTTTTCATTGTTACATGGACTCTGTTAAAAGACACAAAAGACATATATGGACATATTATCACATTTTAACTCATGAGACAAAATACAAATTTAAATATGACATTATTTTTAAGCATTATTTACTTGTCTATCAAGATATACATATTTAAATTTTTTTCTTCTAAAAGCTAATATTTATTCTCATGATCATTACATGATATTTTTTCAAGATATCCAGTGACTTACAGGATCAGGACATTGCCATAGCCAAATGCCATAAACTACTTGGAGAAATCACTCTGAATCAATTCTTGAAGGCTCAGTGCTGAAAAACCCAGCTAAAAAAAGGTGTTGTAGTCAGTGAGAAAAGTACTTCAGAATAAATATTACATGATCCACATTTTCACAGGATCACAGGTCCAAACTGTATCACCTAGATTTGAAGAGATAAAGAAGTATAATTATTATTATCACTATATTTGATTCCCTATAAACATATACCTTCATATGTGGGTGTTTTGATCATTATATATGTTGAATAAAATGAGCTAGGAATTAACATTGGTTAAACAAGAAGTATAAAATGAAGGGTGAGTGGACAAGTTATTATTTTTCATTTAATATTATATTTTGTTCTCTATTATCACTAGTAGTGGTGAAAAATAACTGACACTATTAAGAAAATTAATATGAGAATAAAAAGATGTCATAGGCCAGTTTCTTGCTATGCTATTTCAAACAAGAAAAATAATGATGATGATGATGAGCATTAATATTTGATATTTATATGTAGATTATATCACTTGAACTTCACAACAGTATTATGCTATAAAAATGCTATGGTGGGCTGGGGATTTAGCTCAGTGGTTCTGCTTCCTGCCTCGCAAGTGCAAGGTTCTGAGTTCAATCCTCAGTACCAAAAAAATAAAAAAATAAAAGTGCTATGGATTTCACATCACAAAATTGTAATGAGAACATAATGAGGCAACATGTAAACACCCTGTTTAAATTTCAGTAGTAATAACAGAAACATACCAGCTTTATCACATAATTAAATTTCATTTAAAACATACCCATTTTAATTTCATATATGATTTCTTGTTTAGAAATCACGTTTCTATCACATACAAATTGGACTAGATTGTTAAAATCTCTAAAACAAAATTTCTGCTTAACTCCTTTCATCTTATTATTCACAAAATAGTCCAATCATATTGTACTATCTACTTTGTTCTTAATATTCCAATGCTCCAAACAAATATCCTTTTTATTCATTACTTAAAATTTTTCTAGAAAATTCCTGAAAAAATTGCTAATGTGTATTCATAAGAGAAACAGTGTTTAGGGAACAATTTTAAATAATCACTTGTTTATTTTTCAACAATAAAATTTTTTAAATCAATTCATAAAATAAAAATAAACAAAAATGAAAAATGTCAATAGGAAGATATAACATGTAGAACTTGCTGACTGTAGATAAATACTTATCTATGTGTGTATGTATGCTGTCCATGGTGTTTATGCATGCAACAGATTTTTGATGGGAAGATAATTTGCTGAAAAAGTTAAATTTCAATTTGAAAGTGCTATTGCTCTTTAGATATTTGACATGGTGTGGTTATAATCATGAAAAATAACTGGAAATACTTATGAAACACGTAATAAATAATACCATTGAAGAATATTTGATATATTTGACTATATTATAAAGCTAAAGCAATTAAAACAACCATTTAAGAAAACTAATAGCTGAAATTAATATGAAAAACTCAACATTTGTAACTAATTTGCTGACTAAATTATACACATTTTTAAAGATTATACCTTTAAATATCCAACACTTGTAATCTTCTCATCAAGAGATACATTCATATGGTTCCAAAACATGGTATTTATCAGGTGAGTTTAAAAACATGACTCCCTTTCAGTGATTATAAAAGATGAAGATTAAAAAAGATAAAATTTCAATGTTTGTATATCATGGGTGATTTTATGTACATATACTCATTATATATACAGAATCTGCCAAAAATACCTATATTGGGAAAAGAAAAACTCATATAAACATTTTAATGCTAAATTTATTGAGACATCATGAGATTAACACAAGTTACCTTCAGCTTTGACAACTACAAGAGGTACTCAAAATGGTAGCCATTAACTTCTGGACGTTTATTAATGTGGTGAACTGCTGAAGTGTGTATACATTTTTTGGCAGACTCTTTATTTAAGGCAGGAAATTATGAGGAGAAATTTTCACAGGCCATTAGCAAATATTGAAGCTAATCTTACACTGTGTAAATCTGATATTCGGTAAAGGTTATAACATTTATTGCACCTCAACCCATTCATTATGTGTCAAATATATAATGCAAAAACAAAAAAAATAATAATTTAGGGCTCTTAATTACAACACTTTCATATTTTATAGTAGAAAATGTATTTTCCATGATTTTCCAATACCAGAATATTTTTAAAGTGGTATGAAGCACAATTTACCCATATGGCATGTGATGTGGATCAAAATTTTCTATTATAAAAAGCTATTAGCAACCAAGTTAATTGGTTGCTTGACCCACAATGTGGGACACTGAAATAGAACAATTACAAGCATTAAGAGAAAAATATTGAGGAAAGTGTTTGTAGAATACAGTGTTCAAAGCAGCAAAACAACCGTAGCCAAATAGCAATATATTTGATGAATGCTATTGTATATTTTTGTAGTGAAAATGAAGTTAAATTGTGAAATAGATTTGTAGAAGACTATTAAATTTATACATATATATTCATTATAATATATGTATATATTCAATTTTCCTAATGAGATTGAGAAAACTTTACTTATATTCAAAATCAATAAAGACAATACATATTTAGAGGAAAATAAATTTAAATCAGCTGATTTTCAAGAACTTACATAATGTTAAAAGAAAATAATGCCATATTTTATATTATCTATCTATATATTTATATTTATTAGGTTTAATTTAATATTTAATACCAGGTGGAGATATTGTTGATTTCATGTAAATTTTTTTGGAACCTCTCACAACCAAACTATGGCACATAAATTGCAATTTTAATTCTATGAGTCTGTCCTAAGCATGAAAATGAAAACTGTTGTATATTGTCAGTGTTCCCATTACTAAGACTAAACATGTTTCAACCATCTCTTAAAGGAGGAGAGCCTTTATTTTGGTTCATGGTTTCAGAGGAGTCAGTCCACTGTTGACAAGCTCCAAAGCAGGATCATAGCAGAAGGGCGTGGTTGATCAAAGCCGCTTAGTTCTTAGTGCAGGAAGCAGAACACATTGGAAGACCAACAGTAAGAGACAGAGAGATACATCCTCCAAACAGATGGACCTAGTGACCCATCTCCTCCAAGTTGGCCCCATTCCCCAACACCCATTAGCTCCCCATGATTTAATCATCTCTCCAAGAGTCCTTTAATCCAGTAAAATTGACAATTAAGATAAACTGGCACAAGTTTCAAGGTACAAAACATGGTAAATTACACAATTGAATTATCTGATCATTCAATTCACTAACAAAATGGATTTAAGAAATGTCAATTTTGTACATTAAACATACCAACATATAAGTAACTTAATCTATTAACTAATACTAACACCCTCATTAAACCTTTGCACAGTATATCAATTGCTCATTATATCAAAGATGCTTCAATGTTGTTTGGTATTGAAGTAGTTGAAAAGGTAACCCTAGATGAGCTGGCATCAAATTCACTCAAAATTTATTTTATGAAGAGTTGGCACCCAAAATACAAGAAGACAGCTAAGGTCTATGAGGCATACATTAATCATAATGCCAAAACAAATCCCATCTGAATTTTGTGAGAAAAGAACCTAATAGAAAAACTTTTATGATGATGTATATTGAGAATTTGTTTAAACTATGATTCCCAAAAAGAGAGGTATTATTATCCATGTAGGGAAATCCAGAAATTCATGTTTTAAAAAATTGAGCAACAGTAGGATTTTCAGGAAGGACAGTTAATAGTTTTTCCACTTACCAAAATCAATGTCAGTAGTTAAAAGGGAAAAACAAAAACAAAATGAGAAATTTAATCTAAAATTATAAAAACAATGCTGGCATTTTTCAAGTACATATATGAAGAAAAACAACTTCCACAGGTATAAAATGGAAGTTTAGAAAATAGTACTAAGCACATACAAATATAAAACGATCAATATTGTAAATTTGTTAGTATCTCATAAGTTAACGTATGGTGATATTATAATTTAAAATCATAATTTAGTATAGTTTTGGTAACTTTGAGAAAGTGTGTGACAGAAATTTCCAAAAATAAATTGGCCATATGTATATGTATATATATATAGATATATGGCCAATTTATATATATATATATATATATATATATGTAATAAAAGCAGTGGAAAAGCAAAAGGGGAAAATATATTTGAATTACAGAATCCTAATTATGATAATGCAGTAACAAGTTAGACAACTGCTGTTGACTTATTCATTAAGAAAAGAAAATTACAACTTATTTAAGTGTCATACAGTAAGATGATTTTTGACAGAAAACCATAAACCCATCTTCAACTTAAGACATATAGACATATTCAGCCTCTATGTGTTTAAATATATTAATTTTCATGTATTTCAAACATTATTTCATAAATCTATCTGATATATGTCTGTGATATACTTAGTTTTTATATTGCAATGAAAGAAATGCCATATATATTCATACAATAGTCCCCATGGTGAAAAATGTTCATATGTATTAACATTTTTGAGCAGAAAGTAAAATATAGAGATGCATCAACCATTAATATTTTCTGTAAAGGACAAGAGAAATATATAGGAATGATGTAAAATCATTACTTTTTTATGTATAGCTAATGTTATGGCTGTGTCTAGGTGTTCCCCCAAAGCCTCATGCAGTCACACGGGGGGCTTTTTCAAAGGTGGCTGGATCTAGAGTGTGTGATTGATTCATGGTGCAATGCTAGGCCCAAAGGCACTAGGATTAAGGGTGTGAGTGCTACCTGCCCTAAGTAGTCTGGATAAGATATAAGAGATAGAAAGATGCTATTGAATTCCCTTGTTGTTTGCTACCTTTCCTCTCCCATGAATTGATGCCCTTCTGCCATGTGGCATCCTGCCTTGGAGCTAGCCGATTATGGACTGAAACCTCTACAAACTGTGAGCCAAATAAACCTTTCCTCCTTTAACTTTGGGTGTTAAGTATCTTGTCTCAGCAATGAGAGAAATGTAACTAAGACAGCTAAGTTATTTAATATTCAAAGAAGCAAGCGTTCACCTTTAAATAAGTAACAATTTGAAAAGAAAATATAGTGCTATTTAGGCCAATCCCTAAAATTAATAGGTAAAAATAAAAACATTTTCAATGCTGGGTTTTGGTATATTATTTAGAATATATGTATGAATTTCTATTATAGTTAACCACACTATTAAACTCCTTTGTAGATTAGGATATATGACATCTTCTTTGATTTGTTCACAAACAGGACAATAAGAGGATTTTTTATTTGTCAATATGTGAATACATGTGTTTTACACTTTAGGAAATAGAACAATTAATATATATACCACAAGTTTGTTAATAATTCTTACTAAAAGACATATGAGGCATGGAATTTTGGCATTGGGGAGAGCAATTGCTAAATTTTTTTCTTTGACTTTCAATTAATTTTTTTTACTTTTGTTAGCACATGTTTGCAGTATACAATGATTACATTCACTGTAAGGCATTGGCACATGTACACAACACATTTAAATTCTTTCTTTCCCACTCCTTCCACCCCTCCTTTATTTTTCCAGCATCAGATTCATTCATTTATCTTATAAGATGTTATAAACTTAATTATCATATATATAAATTGAAAACCAGACTAATAGGCCAAAGAACATATTAAACATGTAAGACATTATATTTACTCTATAAAACATGATATTTTGAAGTACATATACATTGTTTTATGACTAAATTTAGCTACTTAATGTACGTCTTACCTCACACAG